TCAAATCCACCAGATGCTCTGCCGGGGAAGGAGGGACAATCTCCTCCTGTACCAGTCAGATCTGATTTGACGGTACAATCACACAAAAATAATAAAATTTTTTAAAAAAATCTCAATTTCTTCATATTTGACTCCCTAGATCTTTGATTTTTAAAAGCATATATTTGAGTAATAGTCGTATTAACAGGTCTTTCTTGTATGCATATGGATATTATCCTATCATTCACAATATTGTATTTCTGGTTAGGACTTGAAATTGACTCTTTTTTTATAATTTGTTTTTATTATTATTATTATTATAGCTTCTTGCCACTAGGCCACCAGAGCTCCCTGAAATTGACTTTTTGACAATTAATGCAACGCCATTCTCCTGCTTTTCATTCCCTGCATAGTATACCTTCTGATTAGCTGATACAAATTAGCCTAATGCCTAATATGTTGATTTTCATGTGTTCCATTTCATTTTTAACAATTTCCAGTTTTCCAGCGTTCAGCTATATACATTCCATGTTTCAGTTATTAAATATGTTTGTTATTGTTTTTCCTCATTTCAACAGACTTCCAATCTGGGCTCTACCTCTACACTACTATAACTATCCTAGTTATGTAATTATAGTGATTTTTTCCCTCCACTGTGTGTGCATGTGCACACGTGCACCTGTCTGGTAGGCTGGTAGGTAAGGAGTTTATGCTGACAATCCAAAGATTGATGGTTTTAAGCCATCACTTGCTCCATGGGAGAAAGATTCTTCTCCCATGGATTTTTAGTAGCCTCAGAAAAAAGCACTGGAAGGCCGGCTGTCAGTTCTGACTCAATAGCACATAAAAACATATGCATACCTGCTAACCACACACAGTGATTGAGCTCCCAGCCATTCTTAAGGAGAAAAGACAGGGCAGTCTATTTTCATAAGTCTATTTACAGGTCTGGAAACCTTACAGGCAGTTCTACACTGTCTGACAGGACTGCTGAGTTAAAGTTGACTCAACAATGGATTTTTAGATCTTTGTTGTTTTTGTTTTTAATTTTTTAAAATTTATTTTATTTTCTTTTATTTATTATTTTGTGTGTGTGTACCATCAAATCGTATCTGACTGGTACTGGAGGAGATTGTCCCTCCTTCTCCACCAGAGCATCTGGTGGATTTGAACCTTGTATCTCTGGGATGGCAGTGCAGCTTCTTGCCACTAGGCCACCAGAGCTCCCTAGATCTTTGATTTTTTTTTTTAAATAAGTTAAAAATGATTGATGTGTATGGTTTGGTGTCCTTTTATGATCAAACTGTGGTACTGTCAAACTAGCTCATTCTCAACAGTCAAGATAGAATGTTATCCTGCACCAAGTGGAGATCCTTAATTGCATATTAGATTTGTGAAAGAATAAAACTTGGTTGTTTTTCTTCACAAAGAAATGATTGTTGCCTGAAGGTTTTTTTAAAAAAAAGAAAAAGGCAACACAACAGAAACACAGAAATAGAGACGGAAGTGACAGCTTAGCAAAGCGAGTTTTCTCAGTTACAAGAATGAAAAGCTCTCGGGAAAAGTTGGCATGACTGTGACCTCCCTGGGACCCTGCAGACTCGGCCCCAGTCTCATTGCTACGTCGACCTGGACTGTGCAGCCAGTGTGGCACCCCCCACCGCCACTGCTGTAGTGGACCTTCGCTTTCCAGGGAGATTGGACTTGATCAAAGTGCCATAAGCCTAGACTGATGATTAATCTAAATGCAGGCTGCTGCCGCTGTGCACCTTGACAAATGCACCGTTGGCTGTGCACACACTCGGCAGTCTGCACTTTCTTTCTCTGGTGTGCACAGTTACTGAAATCATGTCGTTAGCCTCCGTCTGGCTGCCAGATTCTTCAGTTGCTTTTGAAATAATGTTCTTGCAGTAACAATTTTTTTTTAAATGCTAAAAAAAAATTCAATTTTATTTGTGTAATATAATTTTGCCTAGAGATGTAGCATTTTTGTCTGGATTAAATAGGCCCTAAATTTGCAGCTGAAATGAATATCCTTGAAGATGATTTTTTGCTAACAACGGATTTATCAAATCCTCGAGAATTTTAACTATCACCTTCCTTCCCCGAAGCACTTTAAATGGGCTGAGATCTACCATCCTGGGTTTTACCCCCTCCAGTATGAGCAACTCTCTCAGGCTTTTATTACCCACATAAGTTTCAATAAAAAAATTTTACACGTTTTGACTTTGAAATCAACTGATGAATAAAAGGTGTGTGGTCAGGTGGTGCGCTGGGGAGAACTGATGGGGAGCCCTGGTGCCTACGAGGATGCCATCGTCAATGAATCATCAGAGCACTGGCAGCGATTACCCAGGCAACACCCTGGAGCACCTGAGCAACAGGTTGCTTATAATCTTTGACCTGCATATCGTGGGGTGTGCGCAACACCCCCCAACCTCAATACCAAACACGTGCGGGAACAAACAGGCAACACATCCCGGTGTGACTGCAGCTGATTCCGACTCTCTGACGTGAGGCCTCTGAAGCACACAGGAAAATTCCTGCCATCCTGAGCTGCTCTCTTCCCTTCTGAAGTCTCAGTCGCATTGCAGGATGAAAATCTCTCATTAATCATGCCAAACAGTGGGATTAAGTCAAGCTAGTAGGTTGTTGCCTGGAGTGTATTTTAAAGTAAAATGAGGGCCAGAGTTTTAGGAAGCACCTGGTATTAAAATGTGCCTTTTAAATACGGTGTGAGTTTAATAGGCTTTCTGCTTTGCACCAGGTCATCTGCGCGACGGTTGCATTTGGAATGGGGATTGACAAACCGGATGTGCGATTTGTGATCCACGCATCTCTCCCGAAGTCTGTGGAAGGCTATTACCAGGAATCCGGCCGAGCGGGCAGAGATGGGGAAATCTCTCACTGCCTGCTTTTCTATACATATCATGATGTGACCCGGCTGAAAAGACTTATACTGAGTAAGCGCCATTGTTGAGACATCCTGTCATCTTCATTACCAGGACATTTCTCTGTTTATTCCTACTTATTACACTTCTGGCCCAATTTTCCTCAAGTAGTTAAAGAATGAGAAATTCCAGAATCCCCAAATTTTCAGCCATCAAGGCAAATTCCGTTCACAGTAACTCTTTGGGATACAGTAGAACTGTCCCATAGGGTTTCTAAGCCTCTAACAGTTGTTACAGAAGCAGGCTGCTCTGTCTTTGGTAGGCTTCAGGCCCTGACCTTTTCCATTAGCGGCCAGGTGTTCTAAACACTGTGCCTCTGGGTATCCTCATAGAATGATAAACATCCACTCCTGTCGAGTGGATTCCAACTCATAGCAACGAAACAGGACAGAGTGGAACTGCCCTGGGGTTTCCAAGGCTGTAAATCCTACCAAGAGCCAAGGGAGCCTCATCTTTTCTCTTGTGAAGCTCCTGGTGGTTTGAACCACCAACCTTCTGTTAACATCCCAGTGTTTAACCTACCATTGCACCGAAAGTCCTTATAGAAATATAGATGTGTTTATATGCCAACAACCCATTGCCATCAAGTTGAATCTGACTCCTAGTGATCCCCATCAGGTTTTGGTTGGTTGGTTGTTTGGTTGTGGGGTTTTTTATTTTTTATTATTTTTTCTGTGTTACCATCAAATCAGGTCTGACTGGTACAGGAGGAGATTGTCCCTCCTTCTCCAGCAAAGCATATGGTAGTTTCAAACCTCGCACCTCTGAGAATGCAATGCAGCTTCTTGCCACTAGGCCACCAGACCTGGCCATCCCATCTGGTTTTTAAGACTGTGAATCTTTATGGAAAGAGACTATCCATCTCTCTCTCTCTCTGTCTCTGTGTCTCTCTTTCTGTCTCTCTCACTCACAAAGAGCAGCTGGTGAATTTGAACCATTAACATTTTGAGTAGCAGTTTGACCACTAGGACTTCTTGTTCATACAGAGATCAAAGACCTTTATTACAGCAGTTGTTGTTTTTGTTGTGTTATCAAGTTGGAACCAACCCATAGCTGACCCTCTAGTGGGTTTTCAGAGGTGGTTAATTGCACAGGAAGAGATTTCCTATCCTCCTCCTGCAGAGCAGGTGATGGATGTGAGCTGCGTGCCTTTGGGATTGCAGCACAGCTTCTTACCACTAGCACTCCCTAATTATAGCAGTAGTTCATACTTAAAATTTAAATACCGGGTGATGTAGACATGTATAAAGAAAATGAAATCTGAGACAATGGCTATATTCCTACCCAAAAAATAATTCTAGTTACTGGTTTCATGTCTATCTTTCCAGGCCCAATCTCTGTATGCTTTCTTACATATAGCACGCATTTCAAACACATACAAAAAAGGACATATAAGTGTTCTCATGTACTGCCACCCAACTTAAGAAATAAAATACAGCTGATGGAACTTTTCTGTCTCATTCCTTCCCCCACCAGAAATACAATATCTTATATTTGGTATTTACCACTCTCAAATGCATGTATTTTCAAACCTACATAGTATTTTACTATACCAGCATGGGTTTTTCCCCCAGCCAAACTATAATTATCATTTCCATTAACTCTCATAGTTTTTACTACATAGAATCCCATTGTATGGTTAATCCATTTTCATCTAACCAATCCCCTATTAATAGACATTTAGACTGCTTGCTGGTTTTCTATTATTGATAATACAGTATGGAACATCTTTGCGTACAGGTATTTGGTTAGAAATATAGAGAAAATCAATTTCTAGATTTCTAGACTGGCTTTACTGGGTCAAAGTGAATACAGATTTTGAAATTTGATTCGTTCCTTCCCCATTTTCTGTTGGGTCGTGATAGTTAAATGCATTTCTTAAATATATTATCTATTTTGGGATTAACTCTGGCAGAGCCCTGGTGACCCCAAATTGCTCTGGTTCCAGTGTCCTTTTTATTACACTGTACCAAGATGATTCTCAATGAGAAATGAAAATGTTTACATTGGGTTTGCCCATTTATGTTATAAATAGAACCCATAGTAAATAGTTAGGTACAAGTATTTCTTTAAATCCTGATAACTTTATTGTTTTTGTTATTGTTACCTGCCTGAGACTCATAGTGACCCTATGTACAACAGCCCTAAACCCTGCTCTGTCCTGTGCCAATCGTATTGCCTCTGCCACCCCTACCCCCACTACCCCAGTCACTGAATCAGTCCATCTCATCAAGGGTCTTCCTCTCCTGCACTGTCCCAGAACCCTCCCTAGCATTACGTCTATCTCCAAGGGCTGGTCCTTCCTTGTAGCATGCCCCAAAGTATGTCAGACAAAGCTTCAGAATCCTTGCCTCCAAGGAGCAGCCCAGCTTTACCCTCTCTGGGACAAACCTGTTCGTTTTTTTAGTAATCCATGGTATATTCAATATTCTTCTCCAACACCACAGGTCAGAGACATCAGTTCTTATTCTATCCTCCCTAGTCATTTTCCAGCTCTCTGATGCATAGCATCAGATTGCAAAGTGATTGCAAAGACCATGGCCTGTATCAGGCACACCTTAGTCTCCAGACTGACGTCATTGCTCTTCAGCACTCTGGAGAGGTCCCTGACAGCAGACTGTCCCATCACAATATGTCTTTTCATTTCTTGGCTACTGATGCCAAGAGTGTTGATTGTGGAGCCAACCAAATTAAAGCTGTTGACAGTCTCAATCTCTTCACCAGCCATCATGATGTAGTTATATATTTATAAAATAATTTCTAGACAGGCTCTACTGGGTCAAAGTGAATTTTTATATCTATTTATATACACACACACACACATATATATATATATTCATTCTAGGGATTTAGTTACCAGTTTAAAAGTGATAGTTGTAAATGAGAATAACAACAGTACTTTTATTTCATTCTTAGTCGCTCTCTAATGGCAAGTGTGCACATGTTGTTTTCAAAGAGTAGAATCAGCTAATTGGACATTGTCATCTTCACTTCCTATTTCACATTGATTTTTTAGATACTTGTTTATATCACAGCAACTACCAGAAGTCCAGCTTCTCAAAAATAAAGGTCTGAGCTGCAGTTATACCCGTGAATACCTTGAAGTAGTAGTTCATACCATGTTTAACAAATGTCCAGTATTGTTGCTTCCCCCGAGTTTTCCTGTCGGTGCCCCTGGGGGTTCACCGTGAGGCTCCATGGTGCACAGATTAGGAACCTCTGGCTTAGCCACCTCGACCACAGTTTTCAGGGAGGCCACAGCCACTGCCATAGCTCCAGGCTCTGCCAACAGGGAAAGTTCAGTTCAGTACGTGCTTATCTAACAAATGTCATAGCAGAGTCATGCCTTTATTATGTATCTTTGAATCATGAGATTTTGCAGAAAGTGGTTCATCTGCTCTTAACAATTTAACATTCCTGTGAAACTTAAAATCCTGAGGGATAAACATAAATGAATGTATGTACCCACTGCTGTTGCTGATTCCAATTCATAGGAACCCGACTTCAGGTTTCTAAGGCTGTAAGTCTTTAGGGGAACAGACTATCATCCTCCTCCCGTGGTGGGTTCAAACTGCAACCTGCATTCAAACAGCCCAATGAGTTATGTCTACAGCACCTTACACAAATACCTAGTCAGTTATCATAGTGAAAAATGTCATGTTGGCATATCATGCTGTTAATAATCATCTTTCATTTCACTAAATATTTAGTTTTATGAACCAACTCTCAATATTTCTGTGATGCTCTCCTTTTCCTATCCCAATAAAGTATGATTCACCATGTTTTTTTCTCTGCTTTAGTGGAAAAGGATGGGAACCAGCACACAAAAGCGACTCACTTCAATAATTTGTACAGCATGGTACATTACTGCGAAAACATAACGGAGTGCAGGAGAATGCAGCTCTTGGCTTATTTCGGTGAAAAAGAGTTTAATCCTGATTTTTGTAAGAGGCACCCAGATGTTTCTTGTGATAATTGCTGCAAAGCACAGGTAAATATGCCAAGTATTAAAATCTTTATAATTAAGGAAACTAACCAGAATTTCTCTTCTCTTAATATAGAAAAGGAAGTAAAAGTTAGATAGTAGTTGATGGGGCCGACTGACTAAACAAGGGGCGAAGGGAAATGGTTTCTTCATTAGCAATTTAGAATGGAAACATTGTAAATAATTTTATGGAATCACTTTCCTTCAGACTTAAAAGCCTGTTCTAAACTGTTGAGGTCTGTGCACAGGCAGTGGTGATTTCAGAGTGAACCCAGCTGTCCTCTCGGTTCCGCCTCACATCGCTCCTCCATCCGGTTTGTGAGGAGTAAATAATTGTTTCAGGGCGACGATGACCCGTCTTCCTCCCATCAGGTGGCTGGTGGATTTGAATTGCCAACCTTTTGGTTAGCAGCCCAACAAGTTATACACTCTACCACCAGGGCTCCTACACTGATGATTATATAGGATCATTTTTTTAAATTATCAAAATATATTAACATTTGAAATGGTCTAACTTAAGCAGGTAAGATATTTTAAATTCCATCTATACTTAAAAACTTTCATTTTCAAAAGGTATAATAAGAGTGCTGTGTATTTGAATTCAGGATCAATTCTATTATCCTATAAATTGAGAATTTCCCTCCTCACAGTTACAGGGTTTATTAAGGAAGTTGTTGTTGTTGTGTACCATCAAACTGGAACAGACCCATAGCTGACCCTCCAGCGGGTTTTCAGAGGCAGTAAATTGCACAGAAAGATTGCCCATCCTTCTCCCACAGAGCAGCTGACAGATTCGAACCATGTGCCTTGGGGATTGCAGCACAGTTTTTTCCCCACTAAGCCACCAGATCTTTATTAGGGAAGTAACCATTACAATTCAGGTCTGAAACACTCAGGATACAATTCTTCAGTCAGGACAGCTGCTTCTCAGTCACGCACGACCTTCAGTCCCCTGGCTCTGGGGCAGCTCTTTTTATTTTCTGCAACTTACAACTTCTCTCTCCAATACCCAATTCCCCAAGTAAGCCTAAGTGGAGGTCCTCTGGCTCTGTGGAGTAGCAGTCTAGCTTAGCTGGGTCTCACAGGTTCTAGTTCTTTGCTGTTTCCTGTCTCTGTTGCATCTCTGTCTCATGAGGCAGGAAACTCTGCTCTAGAATGTGGTGTTGTGTTCTGCTCTCTTGGTGGTAGCGAGATTCTCATCATCTGCTTCTCACTTTTTCCATTTAACACTAGGTAGAACGGCAAAACTGACCACTGTCTTCATTAGTCGATTACACACTTTATTAATAACAGTGATGGTAAGGATGGCACAGGATAGGGCAGGCAGGGTTCAGATCTGTTGTTCACTGGAGGATTATGAGTCATAGGCTTCTTGAGGACACCTCACAACATCTCTATCACAAAAGTCATAGATACAGACAGACAGAGATGGGGGCATTGTTTAGGTAGATAGATCCATCTAAACGAGGGCAGCAGGGCCCTCATTGTAAGGACTGTATCTTTTACTCTGAATGAGATGGGGAGTTTTGTGGGTTAACATTATTTAACATAGTTTTTAAAAGATACCTCCAGCAGAAAATTCTAGAGAGAAACGTGAGTGGAAGCAGAAAATCCTGGTTAGATAGAGAGAAACAGACAGACAGATGGAGGGAGGGAGAGGTGTTTAAAACTATAAAGAATAATGGTAATGGTTTCTAAGTGAACTTGCTATTCTAAAAATAATCCTGGAAGGTTAAATTCAGTTGGATACTTACTAGATGTTTAATTGTGCCTATCATGATAATTCCACATTTTATTATCTTCTGTACTTTACAGTTTATGGAACATTTTGACATTTGGTATGTTATTAACTTGTACCCTGTGAAATCCTGGGCAAACAGAATACTCAACTTTATAGATTTGGAACTCAAATATTAATCTTCGTGGTAGGCTCAATGACAGACGCCAAGGATTCACAAATGAGTGTGGTGCTGACCACTTCATAGACTGGAAAAGAGACAGAGATGTCTTCATGTAATTGTGGAGTAGGTGTGGTTACAGACATCTGCAACACTGGCCAGAGCAGATTACTGTCCTTTATAAAGAATCCACAATTTTATGTCCATCCAGCTCCCCTTTCCTCTCCTCCACTTAGACATTGTTCATCCCTTTTTTTACTCAAATATTTGTTAAGTCCCTGCTCTGCAGCAGGCATTGTTCTGGGGATTTAGAATACATCACTAAGTAAAATGTATCAAGATGACCGGCCTTTTGGAGCTTACATTCTAGCAGAGGGAACAGATTACAGGCAATGTACCTCATCAATAAATCCCAAGTTAGGGAGCTCTAATGGCCTAGTGGCAAGAAGCTGCGCTGCAATCCTAAAGGCGCATGGTTTGAATCCACCAGATACTCCACTGGAGAAGGAGAGGTAATCTCCTCCTGTGCCAGTTGGATACGATGGTGCACAAGGGGGAAAAAAATACATCAATCCATCCCAAGTTAAAGAAGAAGAGCTGTGGGGGAGAGTAAGGCCAAGTTAGGAGACTGGAGTGACGGGAGGCCTGCGGGCGCCGCATTGGATGAGGTGGTCATCAGAGGCCTGTTGAGAAGGTGAGCTCTGAACAGAGACTCAGAACAAGGCAGTTTGTTGAGCAACTCTCCAGAAAAGGACATTCCTGGCAGCAACACTGGCCACTACAAACATGCTGTGATGTGGGACATGCCGGTGCGTCCGAGGAACAGTGAGAAAGCTCATGCAGCGGAGCAGAGTTACAAGTCAGTGAGCAGGAGAGGGGTGAAGGGCCAGGGCAGCCAGGCCCTGTAAGCTGTTGTAAGGACTTCATCTTTACTCTGAACAATATGGGGAGTCTTGTGGGTTTAAACAGAGGAGTCATATGATCTAACATAGCTTTAAAAGGATACCTCCAGCAGAGAATTCTAGCAAGAGACACGAGTGGAAGCAGAAAATCGGGAAGGGTGCTAACAGCGACACTAACCAAATTGGAGATAGCAACGTCAGAGAATGGTCAGATTCTGGCTATATTTAATGTGGATTACGTCTGACTTTCAACTTTGGAAGCTCAGGAACTGAAAGAATGGGGTTGCCCTTAGCCAAGATAAGGGGAGTTTGGCAGAGCAGATCAGGAGTTCAGTTTGGAGCATATTGAGTTAGGTCTGTGTTAAACTCCGGAGTTCTAAAAAGAGGCTGGGAATTTAAATTTGGGGATGGTTAGCATGTGGATGGTATTTGAAGTCATCAGACCAGATGAAATCTTCAGGGGTATATATTTAGACAAAGAGAGAAAAGTAAAGACCGAGCCCAGAGACATTATGTGGTTAAGGAGAGAAAGAAGCAGAAAAGAACACTGTTGAGCTAAGAGGGAAACCGAGGCACTGACGTTCAGGAGGCGTGGAAGGGAGGAGGCAGCGCTGGGTCAATGTCACTGCCAGGTGGAGTGCAGTCAAGACTGAGAATCACCATTGAGGTAGCAACACCAAAGTCACAGTCCTCTTGACTAGTTTCAATTGAATGGGGCAAAGCTTTTCAGAAATGGGTTTAAGTGACATTGGAAGGAAATTGGAGATAGTAACTCTAGTCAGTGCTCAAAGATAAGCAGAGGAACTGACAGGGAAAGCAGAGGTGAGAAAAGAGAAGAGAAAGATAGCAACATGTCTGTATACGGGTAAGAGTAGATCTAGAGAAAGTGAAAATGAGTAAGGAAAGGAGAGAATGAACTGAAGTATGACCTGGATTAAGTGCTTAAGCAAAGAGATTAGACTTAGGTAAGAGTTTGTATAGTCGTGCGAAGATAGTGCGATCTCTCAGAGAGAAGGTAAGAGAAGGGGCCAATGCTGAGCAGAGCAGAGACCGTGTGAAGGTGAGGACAGGGCAAGGTGTCTGTCTGTCCTTCACACAGTTGCTGTGCCTTCAGTCAACTCCAGGACACCTATCAGCAACATTGTTCTGGACAGTTAGCTAACACTAGAATTTAGGGGGGAAATGAACACTTGCTTCTTGGTTTTTAAGTCTGGAAACAGTTTAATGATACAACTACCATTAAACTCTAGAAACCTAGGTATTCTCTTAATTATAACTAAATGTAACCTCTTTTGATAGGATTTTAAGAGAAGAGATGTGACTGAAGATGTGAAAAATATTGTAAGATTTGTTCAGGAACATAATGCATCACAAGGAATGAGAAATGTAAAACACGTTGGTCCTTCTGGGAGATTTACCCTGAATATGCTGGTTGACATTTTCCTCGGTAAGTCATCTGTTTTATTTGAATTACCATTAATTTAACTAAATAATTCATTGCAAACACGTAGAAAAATTATCTCTCGTCTGTTTCTTATAGAACTTAATACTTAAATGTTTCCGAATAAACTCGTTTTTGCATGACAAAAGAAATTAGTCTTTATTACTTACCAGTTATAAAACTGGCATGTCAGTGAAATTAGAAATGTTCACCCACACACATACAAAAAAGACACTATTAAAGCATATATCCTAGTTCATGTGAGTGAGCAAAAAGATACTTTGTTGGGAGAGCTTCCTGTTGACAGACTGTCCAATTCAAGACAGCAGCCTGCGCAGATTTACCGCCTCTTAATTTCTTGAGATTTGTTAAAATGATAAGAAACAAAATGAGGTTAGCCCCATAACAGTAGAGAACAGAGGAGAGACCATTGTCGTACTGTTTGGTGCCATCAAGTCTGTTCCAGCCCCCAGTGACTCCCAATGACAGACTAGAACTCCTCCATTGGGGTTTGGGGTTTAATCTTCACAGGATCAGATTGGCGGATCCCTTTGGATCAGATCCCTTTTCCCGTGGAGCTATCGTGAGGGGCTCATAACGTTTGGGGTTTTTTTTAGTTGTTTTGCTCATAACGTTTTTATAACAAGAAGTGCTTAACCCTTGCACCATCAGGCTTTTAAGTAAGAAGTTTTAGGAAATGAGTGATAGCATGTTTGCAGGTGAAACAAAAATAGACTAAACCATGGGCCAAAATAAATGTAAGGAAAGAATTTTAGCAGAGGAGGGAGTGTCGATCAAGCAGTATCTTATCACTCAGCGTCCGGCTTGAAGTCCAGAGGCAGTGAAAGCTGGAGTTACAGGAAGTCAAAAGCGGGGAAAGAGAGAGGGGTTTATAAAGAGCAGAGGCAGATACCTCCCCTGCGTCGTCACCTGGCCCCCTGTGCAAAGGAAGTAGACAGCCTAGAATTCATTCCTGCAACAGGAAGTGGCTGCCCGGAAGTTCAAGTGTAGCCGAGTTATAGGCCAGAGCCCCGGAGTGATGCACTGCCATCCATCCCTAGCATTTGAGAACTGCCTCAAGTCTGGTCGTACCCACAGACCCTAATACAAAACCTGGTAATTGAAGATGCCCTTCAGGGAACAAACTTTGGAAGAAATAATTAAAAAATTAGCCTACTATCTGAAGGTTAAAATAAATTAAGAGAAAGACCAAAATAAGTAGAATGTAGTTGACCCTATGAGATAGAGATAATTTACAGATATTTCCTCATTAAATAGTTTCACAAAGATTTAGCTATGTAAGGCACTACATTTTAAAAATAACAATAGCATGTTTTTGAAAATAATTAGCACCGTTGGGAATTCTGAGGGGGTTCTGGTGCCGTATGCGTTACATGTTGGGCTGCTAAGCTAAAGTTCAGAGGTTCATATCCCCCAGCTGCTCCTGGGAAGAAACATGGGCCCCGCACCTCAACAACAATGGGGATAGTGGGTTGTAAAGTCTTTAAATGATGGCAATAGTGAAAAGCTAGCAGTTAAAGTATGGAAAATGTGAGGAAAAAATATAGAGCATCAATCTTAAGAGTTAAAAAAAATCTAATAAAAATTTTATAAATTGAATATGAAAGAAAGTATGGACTAAATAAAATTTCCCAGAGCAGCATGGGTGGAAAGCCTTCTTATTAAAAGGGCCCATGATTGCCAAATATGAAGCTTAAAAAAAATATTTAAGACATAGCCTGTGAAATTTGAGAATACGAAGAATAAAGAGACAATCCTGAAAGCTATTGGGAAGAAAAAAGTAAGAACCAAAAGAAAACTAGAATCAGATTGTACCAGCAACCCTGGAGACTAAAAGGCAAAGAGCACACGATGCGACAGTGAACAGTGGAACTAACACGTCCAGCCTGTGCCAAGCAATCCCACTCCCGGCTCTGCTGCAGGTCTAGGAAGCAGGCCGCACGTCGTAGCAGAAGTCCAGAAGTACGGATGACCGGTTCCAAGCTAGTAACAGACAAAATACTTGTTACTAGCAGTGGCAAATGCAAATGTTACTTCTCAACGAAAATGGGAGGAAACTCCAGGGGAAAAATTATGGGAGAGAGGCAAGATTCCATATAAAACAAAGGAATCATGTAACATGATTCTCAGTAATTGGCGATATTCAAAAAAATAATCCATTTGACCTGAATGCAAGGGACACTCAAGGGTAAGGACATTGTTCCAGGTAAGGAAAGAAACTTGTTATGAATAAAATTCAATAAATAAAGATAGAGGAAGGTAGAGTTATAGAGAATGATTGAGATACTAATAACTTCCTCTTACATGGCAGGGAGGGGACTGGTGAACAGTTCTCTCTGTGGCTGATGTGCAAGAGACAGATGTTTTTGTATGATAATATTATTAAAAGTCACCAAGAAAAGAACCAATAACTGGCCTAATTTTGAATAGGATGAAGGAAAGGGAGGGGCCTTGAGTGCAATACTGCTTCATCTTTCATAGGTAAACACCAGGTAGTTCCCCAACCAGCACAAAGACCCCACGATGTAGGGTTCTGTTAAGAGGTAGTTATGGGCCCCTGGTAGCACAGTGGTTAAGTGCTTAGCAGCTAACTTTTCACTTAAGGGTTGACAGTTCGAACCCGCCAGCCACTCCCATAGAGAGAATGTGACACTCCGCTTCTGTAAAGATGACAAGCTTGGGCTCCGCTGCCTGTCACCAGCGCCCGGACCTCAAGTGGTTCACTGAAATTCCTGAAACCGGAAACCTACAACACCAATTCCAGGAAAGATGTCCAGCAAGGGCTCCGTGGTTCTGGCCTACAGCGGCGGCCTGGACACCTCCTGCATCCTGGTGTGGCTGAAGGAACAAGGCTACGACCTCATTGCCTACCTGGCCAACATTGGTCAGAAGGAAGACTTTGAAAAATCCAGGAAGAAGGCCCTGAAGCTCAGAGCCAAAAAGGTGTTCATTGAGGATGTCAGCAAGGAGTTTGTGGAGGAATTCATCTGGCCCGCTGCCAGTCTAGTGCACTGTACGAGAATCACTACCTCCTGAGCACCTCTCTCGCCAGGCCCTGCATCGCCCGCAAACAAGTGGAAATCGCCCAGAGGGAAGGAGACAAGTATGTATTTCATGGTGCCACGGGAAAGGGAAATGATCAAGTCTGATTTGAGCTCACCTGCTACTCGCTGGCCCCACAGATTAAGGTCATCGCCCCCTGGAGAATGCC